TACATAAAAATACACATAAACCAACGTATGACGATTCACTTTATAAAACCAAATTTACTCATTAAACTTCATGTTATCAAGGTATTTAATTATTTTAATTTTTGCTTATAATGTTTTTAAAATTTTAAATAAATTTTATTTTATAGATAGCAACTTAAAGGATTTGCAAGTTGAATTCTAGATATTAGTAATTTTGTGTGCAATATTTAAATGTCATCATTAGGTAAATTCAATGATTTCTTTATTGATTTATTTTGTTCTCTTTTTTTCTTTAGTTTGTCGTTTGTTGTCCGAAAATGTGAAATTATTTAATGTAATTACAAAATAATAATAAACTTTGATAATTAAAACGTGCTTAACACAGGATTATAAATTTAAGTAGCATTGTTTTACAATTTAATTTATTAGAAATATTTATAAGTATGCTCATCGTATTTAAATAAAGTTAATTCTGCTTAATCACATAGAAAGCGATCTTAGAAATCGCAAAAACTTTATCTGGAAATTAATACAGTAATTTAAGGTTACAAACTCCTATAATATAGAAATAAATACCTCAACAACTTGACTGTTAAATTTTTTTACAGAAAAAATATCATTATTCGTTAAGTATGATGGAAAGAAGGCGTTTACCCTTACCTTCACAATAATGATTAGACACATTCATTTCAATTTAATTGTAGCATTTAATTCACGCATATAAACGTTCACTATCGAATCTAAATTTTGAATATCTATATTTAAGATATTTTCTCTTTTTAAACTTTCTTCTACATAATATATTTTTTACAATAATTTTCTCTTAGGATACTTTCTCTTGTTAAACATAACATTAATAAATAAAAACTCAAAAATAAAAAATAAAAAAATATTCATTATACACCAGTTCTCATCTTTACTAGTGTGTACTCTTATTTCTATATATTTTTTCTGATGATAGAGCTGCTCCATACGATTTCTGAGAATTTCTTTGACATACATTAAAATAACTCAGCAGATTTGTTGAATTTGACTTCTCGAAATTTAACTAAATATGTTGTTTTTAACATTGTAAATTTAAATACTGTATTGTGGAAAATGTTGATTTTAAAAAACGTAAAGATTCAATTTAGACTATTTCAAAACCATGCAATTTATAAGCTAATCATGTTTCGAAACAATTAGTCAATGACGATTAAAGTCCACTATGTAATGAATGAATGAGTGAATGAATGAAAAAAAAGTTAACAATACAAAAAAAGTTCACTTCTTTACTACCCAATCCTTAGCTTTCCAAAACCTTCATAGACATGATTAACATCTTTATATATTATATAAAAATCCGAGATATGAATGAATTTCTTTTCCTGTATGTGTAGACTTCTTAAACCATGTCTTAAACCGTAATGGTGTAAGCATTGCATGAATAGTCTCTTGATATGGTGCACAAGTGGCATAACATGAACACATTATTACATTGTCCGCTACTATGATACTAGTTATTGTGAATGGTGCAATATAACCATTATGAGTTTCCTTTTTGTTTAAAGGAAAATAATAATAAATAAAAAATCATCAAAAATAAAATATAACTATAGTAGTGAAAAAAAAAAACACTCACAGTACAAACGCTTGCTACACGAACAGGAACAATATGATTACCACTTAAAACTTTAAACTGATAGAATATGGTTGTACGTTCTTTGCATAATCGAAATAAACATTTGTTAATATGTGATGATTGGGAGTGAGTAGTATAAACTCTAAAATAAAATTTTATTTAATTAAACATAAAATATTATATATATAGATATATATATTTGGGTATTGGTAAGTGAAAACCTGTAAATCATATTTTTTGAATTATTTACTTTTAATAAAAATATCTTGAAAACCAACTAATTGAATACTTAAATTTTAATATTATTTGAATCGTCTTAATGAGACGGTTCGAATAATATTAAAATATTAAGTATTTGATTTTCGAGATATTTTTTTATTAAAAGTTAAAATATTTCAAAAAACATGATTTACAGGTTTTCATTTACCAACATCCATTTGTTAATGTTTTACCTGTTAAACCTGTAGGCATATCTTCTGATATTCGGTTTCAGCCTCAAGATCACAATGAAAGATCAGATAAATTTCTGAAAACTCTAAAGATCACAATGAAAGATCAGATAAATTTCTGAAAACTCTAATATTCCATTTTTTGACCCTACACAAACTTTATCCCCGACAACAATCAAAGACATAGTGACAGCTTCTCCAGTCTCAAGTATAACCTTAGTATCAGGTTTAAAGCAATTTTCAGTAGCTTGTTGACCAATATCTCTATTAAACACTAAAAAAGCAAATTCTTTGAGTACTTTTTTCCACTCCTTAATAACAATATTTTCTGCATATGTTCAATTCTTTTCCATAGATATTAATGCACAGGTACATGTGCCATTTTTTTCCAATAGCAAAATCTCTGGATATCTGATATTCTTTACATCAGTGGCAGGAGCTGCTGGTACTTTATCATCATAAAGCGAAGGCTCTAAAAATTTTATACCATCGGACTTCTTTAATATATACATACCTGTTAGTTAATTTTAACTATACAATTGTTACAAGAATCGAGTTATGAAAATGAACAAATACGATATATTTTCTGATTGGTAAAAAAAATGAAATTTAAAAGGAGGGTCCTTAAATGAAAGGCTTTTACCTACGGAGACTTAGAAAAAGATTAAGTAAGCATTCTTTCCTCTTATGTTTTTATTATGTTGCTTTTCACAGAAAATCCTATAGTTGGGATTAGAGAAATAACCTTGACAAACCAAATTACTTTGAGATAACAGATTCTACAATGGACCTTGTCAGAAATAATCATAACTATCTACACTGCGTTGAAATTTTTGGATGCTATTAATCACGGTTACTGTATCCAAAATTAATATCTTGAACATTGCTCATTTTTATGTCTACATTTCTCAAATTACTCGTGAAATTATATATAGGGGGATCCACAGCAAAAGGTGGTGATGGGTCAAAAAAAAATTTTAGTAAAAACTTTGTTTTTGCAAAAATTAGATTATTTATAACATGAAGTTTAATGAGTAAATTTGGTTTTATAAAGTGAATCGTCATACGTTGGTTTATGTGTATTTTTATGTA